CAATGGCTGTGAGCTTAACTGGGTTTATAGAGAGTTATTGCTTACCTGACTAAACCTGTTGAAGGTTGATAGCTGATAGCTATGATAGAGAGATCTTGAAAAATGAGTGGTGGGTAATCGCTGGCCTCGATGGTAGTGGTAGCAAGCGCCCTGGTATGGGTGAAACGCGGGCTCAACTCCTGTCTAAGTTGGAAATTTTGCCGGCCACTAAATTCTCTAGATTTCCAGTATTTTTGGCCTTTTAGGGCGAACACGAGGTTTCTGTAGTGCAGCTTATTTTGACAGCTGTCGTTTTGGCGATATCGCCTTCTTCAGGCCTGAAAAGACTAAGCTATTCTCAAACCATTCAGCCAAACATCTCCATTACTCCAACGGAAAAATGATCAAGCCTAGATATCAATCGCATCAAACATCTAACAACTTTCTCCTTCCTCACTGCTCTACAAGTTCTCAGTGAGTTATTCAGGAGGAGACCACTGGACAAAGATCATATGGTCTGGCAATTTACTTACCACATAAAAATAAGCTTTTGTCCCGTTTTATATGACGTGTAATAGCGAGACGTCCCTCCCTGCGATTCATGCACGGATTGATGGTGTTTATTCGAAAAGCTTTCAAGGTCTTATACGCTGAGTTCTTTTGTTTTTCTGTCACGATGATGACTTTTGACACTGAGCTTCCATTTACTGTTCCGGATGATCAAAGAATAGCATAAAGCAAGAGCACAGGAGTAAATATTTATTACAAAAACATGTGTAAAAATCACAGCGAGAGTAATACAATTGCTCTTAAATTAGTCCAAATTAATTTTTAAGGTGTCGAATTTCGTGAAAATGTTAGACAACGTAAGTAGATGATTGCCATGAATTGCTCGAGCATGTAACGTAAATCGTTTCTAACGCCCTCATATGGGCACTGGAAATTTTTTTATCGTAATTATAACAAAGACATTAGGAAGCATGTCTCAAAGATAGTAATAATCTCTACGACATGTGAGCAGGTCTTTATGCAATAGAGCCATCTGAAGTGTTTTCATTGCAATGACTTTTCTATGAAAAGTTGATTTTAAGAGATTTTATGGGGCGTAATAGGGCTAATAGAGCTTTTTATATGTTCATTATGCACAAATTATAAAATAATTACTAAGATGATCAATTAAGTAAAATCATGCGTATGCCCTTTTTTCTATGTATGTGGTGACAAACACGATTTTCCCCGCTCAAGATGGAAGCTAATGTTTCCCGAAAGCGATCGGTAATAAATTAACAAGGCTCACTTCTGGACCACTCAATGCCTATCACTAAAAGAAACCATGCGCAAATCTGAAGATTAAAGTATGCAGTGTGTTTGTGGTTGAGGAGAAAGAACCGTTTCGTTTATATTTCCAAATATAGCTTAAGATCTAGGCGTTTCAAAGCAACCTAAGCCGATGCCGCCTGTCGAAATGCAATGCATGTAACGAGATCTTTTGTTGCTTCACAGTAGAGATTTGATGAGAAGACATATGAGAAATGACCACGAGAACAGATAACGTCACGTTGCCACCAAATTTCTCCTCGGCCGCAGTGTTGATCTTGCGCTTCGATTCAGATGAGCTCAGTGACATATTCTGAAACAAAAGAAGCTACTGACATTCTCATCTATGTCAGAAATGATAAACATTATGAACTATCCCCTTCCTATTCGTGTACGATTTCCTCTGTACCAGTTGAACATAAGTGAACGAAAGTTTCCTTTTTTTCAGCAAGATGACAAACTCCGGGTGATTCAAATGAATGACACTCAAAAGAACAGTAGTGTTACACTGGACAGAATTGATTTCCCAGGTGATAAGAATCTATGCATAGCGTTGAACACGATGATTAGGATTATTAAACGCCATGAAATTCCTTGCTTCATTCTGTATTTCGTATCCTTCTCTTACATTTTCCATCGCTTACTTCAAAAGATTAAAATTTGTTGTTAGAAAATTGATGGAGTAACATTAATATTTATTCAGGACAATGAAAAAACGCTTCGTATTCCAACAGTTTCAGTTTTATCGTATCTCTCGTTTCGAGTGTTTTTCTTAAGTTTCTTAAGACCACAGATCAAATTTCAGTATGCCTGATGATCATTTTTTTGAGCCACGCATGTCAGTGGTCTATAAAAGAGGGCTGACTTCTAGAGCCTGATACACGTGTTTTCGATCTTGCGATCTCGTCAGTCGGGCAGTTACCCTTTCCCGTCTTTTGCCAATCCTGTGTGGGTGCCCCATGATATGATTAATTTAATATAGTAGCTAAGAGCAATCGAGTGCATAACGCTCTATGTTCGGTGTGATTTTCACTGGACATAGAGTGTAAAGCGTTCGTCGTCGCTAACTTTCAGTGTGGGGACTGGAAGCACCCACACAGGATCGACAAAAGACGAGAAAGGGTAAATGCCCGACTGACGAGATCGCAAGATCACGAGAAACACGTGTATCGGGCTCTGTGGGTAAGCCCTCTTTGATGGACCATTGACATACGTTGCTCAAAAAATGATTAGTAGTTCCAGTTTTACTCTCATTCATTGATTTGCAGTCTCACTCGACTATGCATCAGTGCACTGTCATTCGTCCCTATCGTGCTTCAGAAATGCCTACTATTCATCGTCGCAATTTTAATTTTCTTGTTAATGAGAAGTCTTGAGCCGGTTACCCATGAAGTGATCTGCAGCATCTGCAAGTGACTGAAAAAGGAAATAAGCAGATTAGAAGTGTCGTTGCGTTTTTTCCTAAAGTGTAAAAGAACACCAAATTTGTTTAGCCAGCAAAAAAGTCTGGAATCATACAACTGGAAAATGCATTGATTTGATTTTAGGTACCTTTACCAAAGTAGCACCTCATCGTCTAGTTGATTAAAACGCAACAAGTTTTGTGCGAGTTTGATCTTCATAGAAAACGGGATGATACCAGGTACGTATTACTAAGACAAACAAGCCGACCTATTTCTTCCAGTTGAAGCAGGGCTGACGAGGCAGCACTCAGTAGGACTAGCATTGATGGAGGGTTGAACTCCTAATCTCATTTTCGGACGCTTAAGTCATATCGCATCTGGGAGGAAAAGTCGCAGAATTTTAAAAAATTTGTGTTGCTTCCCATTGTAAGCCCGTTCTAATTAAGCACCGTTATAGACGAGTTTGCTGATACGATCGGCACATTCATCATTTCCACCACAATGCTAGGAAAGATCGCAGTATGAGAGTGACCGAAATATGGCTGCTCCATCCAAATGGACCCGAGCGGAGCTACATGCATTAGTGAAAATAATTTTCGCGCCATTATACAGTAATGCTCTGAAAGGTCGTAAAAGAGTGTCGAGAAAAGAGGATTACACTAGTAAAATTTAGAGGAGTAAATGATGAAGAGAGTATTTTAAACGTTATCAAGAGTATCCCAAGGTGAAAAGAGAAGGTGGTTGATTTTTGATAACCTGTTAGGCTATCTAAAGAGATATGAAAAGAAGGTTCTATACGATTTCCATTCCAACCTTTTATTCTTTTTTTTTTTTTGATAATTTCCTGTCATCGAGATCAATGTTTCAATTCTGTAACGTCGAAAACCTCTTTTCTTTCTCCTTATATATTTAGTAATCTTTCGATAGCTTGAATCTCGGCTATTTCAACACTGCAGTTTTTTCAAAATCTTCTTAGGACGCTGCGATGACGAAAATATCACGTTACACGCTCGATGCGCACGTTTTTCTTTTTTTTCCTCAGAATTTCCAGTAGTTACTCGACAGCATAAATCTCGTAAATTCGATGACTATGCATATTTTTGAAATAGACCATTTTGTTACGCTGTAGTATCAAAAATAAAGTTAAGTTCCACCTTTGATGAGCATTTCTGACGGCTAAGATGTGTGGATCAGATAATCGCAGCGCTGTATGGATGAAATTCAACAACGCAGAAAGCCTGATCTTGTACTAGTTGCTACGGGTGTTTCAGAAGTCCGTTTCGAAAACGAATCACACTATTGAATGAACCGAGATATAAGCTATCGAATGACTGTTGGAGATTTCAGAAAATCGAGACAGATCCATTCATTAAATTGTTGAGATATGAGAAACAATGCGCTTCGAGTGTGAATTACGATCTCATTTTCATTGCTACAGCACACTTAAAAGGCTTTTAAAAAAAACTACAACATCGAAATAGCCGAGACATCTAGGCTATCGACAGCGCCTTTACCATGTCCTACAAATTATCGCGCCGCTTTGTCACCCGAGAGAGCAGAAGTTATGAATCACTGATGATCAGCTGAAGGAGATGTGGCAATATTAAAGGCAATGCATCAAGAGAAGAAAAAGCGCTTGTTTGATCCGATTATTTTCTAGTGGCATTTGATTGGTTTTAACGAATCTCACTCCCCTCGAGCATAAGTTTCCTGAGAGCCAGACTATTACACTTTGAACTGGCTTCCGGAATCGGTGTCGTTGTATGATGTTCGTCATCATCACTTCCAGCTGCTATTGCACCATCTTCACGCTCCTAAAAATATTGATTTTATCAGGAAATTTTCTCAAATCGCAAAAAGAAATCGTGCTCTTGAATGTGTGGTAATACCTATATCCCTTTACATTCGATTTTTTTTTGAACCTCGCTCAAAAATAATATATCCTTACAGTATCTTTTAAGCCTTTTATGAGGTCTGTTTATGAGCACTTATAGAGTGTAATACACGGTTTCGGTTTTGCAGCCTCGTCAGTTGCACAGTGCTCGACGTCTGTGCTGATCCCGCTCGGGAGCCTTACATAGGGGCATCGTCGGCGAACAGGTTACATCGTGTGTAAAAAGAAAAACCACTTCACCCGCGGGTAACATATTACTGCATTTCCGGTGACATGATCACCGGATATTGCAGTGATTGACAGTCGATTTGCTGAAGACGTATTTCTATTCTATTACTTTTACTACAAAGAGATTTGAGTGGTGAGCAAGAGTAGAGATATTGAAGAATGAATGGTGGCGCGAATGTACCTTGGTGGTGTAGAGGTAGCACGCGTCCCCTGTATGGATAAAACGAGGGTTCGACTCCCGTCTGAGGTTGTGTTTTTGCTCACCGCTCAACTCTTTGGCGATATATGAATTATCATAACAATGCGAAAAATGCAGTAAAATACTAAAAATTTTGAGTATTGCCTTTATATTTGACTGTTTTTTAAGATATCGCTTAGAATTGATACATACAGCCGATTACATGCGCTTGAGAAAATTTTCACTTTACAAGCGGTGTAACGTATTCGTTGACGACACCTGTATGTAAGGGGGTTCCACCGAGAGGGATCGGCACAGACGAGGGATACAGTGGAACCGAAGATGCTGCAAGGCTGAAACACGTATATTGCATTGTATTAGTGCTCATAACAGACCATTGGATGCTTAAAATTTGCTGTGAGTATGTAATAATTATGTATGTTGATAATCATTTTGGTAGCTACAAAAATCCCTGGTCCCTGGTCAACTTTATCTTATAAAGAGCCGCAAATAATCAAAAAACAACTTCAAATCACAAATCTCTTTATCAACGACTTGTACATCTGCGCTTATTGCCAGATCCATCCATATTTCTATATTCATTCTTTTGCAAATATTTGCAGATTGGATGCAGGTGAATCGATGAAGCTCATGAAAGCACTTTTTATTTTGCTGCCAAGCTAAGAAATAGTATGAAACTTATGGTTTAAACCGGTTATAAAGAAGCAGACGAATAGTTCGCCTCATTTGCTTTACAAGAATTTTCATAAGAGAGTTAGCAACCATTCGAAAGCTGAGACTTGAGGCTACAACACCATGTCGCCAGTTTTTCAAAACACCCTTTTGTGACGATGTAGCATTCAGAATAAAATTTTGTTCTCCACTCACTTTTGGCCGTCATTTTTACCGCGAGTATAAATCGCTGGAAGCGCGAAAAGCATATTAGCTTGTAGACTATTTTTCGTGAAACCAGAATCATGCGTTTCTGTCTAAAGTTTCTAGCGACACGGTTGAAAAATCCTCAGCAAAGCTGCACATCAACAGAATGCTTTGCTAACAAGTCGTCGCTGTGGCTTCCCTTCACATTCTACTCACGAACCTTTCCGGTACCTTTGTTCACCGGCACATTCACGGAGCGGGGGGCGGGGCAAGGACGGGGCGATCAATCGTTTTATGAAAATTGCTGTTCAACTGCGGATTTTTTCACTCCATCGATAAAAACTCTAGAAGAAAATTTTTATACTATGCGAAATTCTGTACAAGCTGAAATGCTTTTCGTGCTTCCAGCGATTTATACGCATGATAATAATGAAGGCGAAAAGGGAGTGCGAAACAAATCTTATTCTGGATGGTACGGTTATATAAGGGTGCTTTGAAAAATCGGCAATGCAGACTCATAGCCAGAGATTCAAGCTTTCTAATGCTTACTAAACTCCCATAAAAAGTTCCTGTGCAGCAAGTGAGAATGGTTTGAAAATCTGTTGCCCCCTAACGTATAAGTTCTCGTTGTGATACATAACTATACAAAACTAGCATATTTTCTCGCCGGACAGAACTCTTCTTTGGGCGATTAGTAATCATAAGTTCGCCTAGCGCTTCCTGATGCCAATGCTGTGCTTATATATCAAAAACGCCGTTTCTCCGCAACGCAGCAGGTAAAATAAGTTGCATTCGATGTGTGAGAATGAATAATCTAAAGCCAGTTCACGACGCGGTGGGTGCGGCGACTACGTAATTGATGTCGCAATACTTCTCTACGCGTTCAAAACCGTTCACTGGCCACGGTAGCCAGCGCCCACGTAAATCGCGCGGAACTCCGTTCCTCTTAGGTGGGAATTTGACCTTTTACCAATTATGTTGCAGCTTATTTTACCTGCTGCATTCCAGAAAAACACTCTTTTCATCATATAAGCAGAGCGTTGTCAGCCCTCTTTGACAGACCACTGACATGCATGGCTTAAAAACATGGGTATGATTCAAAACGTTACACTTCTAACAGTTTGAAACGTAGCTTGATAAAAGGATAAAAGGATATGCTCTTGGCGTTGATCAATTCCTGAGGAATGCGCCAGCATTCGTCATCAATTTCTGAACATCGTTTAAGGAGATTGAATGCATATCTGGCCTATACAATGACCCACGGTGAACTTTCCGCTGAACCCAGGCAGTGCTGCTTATCCTCCCAGGCAAGTCTGAGACCAGTCTGGTACTACTTTATCAACCCCGGAAGAGGACCTTGCTGAGTTATGAGCGCAAGACCGAACCATTGATCTCGTGTGTGGCGCAGAGCACCTCTAATCACTGCGCCGCATACTCTCCGTAGCTTGATAAGAAGGAAAAATTATTCATAGCCAAACTTCTTCATTAGATAACGACCTGTATGATTCAAAACGTTTTAGTTTCAGCGTTTTTAAGCTTAGCTTGATAAGAAGAAAAAATTATCCATGACCAAACTTCTTGACTAGACAACATCTGCAGGTGGGTTGGCATTGCGCGAGCGTAGCCAGTGAAATTGAGTGTTCAGATCTCATCGTTCGCATTCACTGTTTGCCAGTGGTCTCACTTTGATCACAGTTCCCCGAAACCATGATTTTTTCAATGATGCTGTCTACCTTTAATGTTTTGGAAAAACGCATCCGTCACCACCAGCTTGCAGAGATCTGTTGTAGCATACTTTCACCCTGATGCAGCTTGCTATTGGATTGCAGATTTGCAAAGTCCTCTTCGTCTCAAATTACTCCATACTGGGAACAAAATCTCGCTATGCACCTATAAGCATCTCTAGCAAGAACGAGGTGGTAAAGATCACTGGAACGGCCCTTTATCCAAAAATGGTGATGTTTCCGTCTTAAAATGGACTGTATGTAAACGACGGGATTTTGAGTGTTAGATCCTTTTGTGGAGAACGGTTCTCGTAACATCTTTGTCTTTACTTTTTATTCGCTATCAAGGTGGATTTCGTACATACCGCACGATTGCCATGATGACTTGCCGGAGCCCGTCGCACATCCGACTTACCGCGTAGACCAACAGCAAAGTCGGTTTTCTCATTCTGAAAATTAAACTTAGCTTTAAAATATAGCGATTCTCAGAATTTGCTTGTATATAAAGAGCTATGGTGCAAATGAGACAAGGCGTGATGTAATTACATTGCTATTTACATACTAGGACCTTTTCTGTGGTTAAAATTTTCAGGCTTATAGCCCTTTTTCACAGTCGAAAATTTTTCTCACTTATTACTTGCTATTAGATTATGTCTCATTTTGTGCTTTATTCTACAACTGCTTTTGGTGTCAGCTTATAGATGTGGTTGACATTTTTTAGTTCAACCTACACTCTGGGGTCGTTTATACATATCGTGATTCACAACTATAGTCGGCTTCATAAATTGAGTTCCAGGTAGCAATTTGAAAAACCATACCTTTGATGGTCGATATTTTGTTGTAGCCACACTGCTAGCTTCTTGACGATCAACGAGTTTTTCGAATTGCTCAAGATTTGAAGGAGCATGCTGACGCTGTTCTATGGGTATACCGAATGCGGCAGCTCGCTATAACTAACTGATCTATTTTATTACTTTTTCGAATTTTACAAAGCACCAACAGGACAAAAATAAGGTGGCTAAACAGTGAATTAGTGTGATTTTTTATATTGATGTACTCACTTCTAAGAGAGTTCGAGTGAATTCTTTTTTTAACAAAGGAAGTGGATCATCTGCCTCAATTCTCTCCCTTATTAACGGTTAGAGCAATATATTTTTCAGTAGATATTTTCTATAGGAAAAACGTGCTTGAATAAGAAAGGCGTTCTCAACTGTACCGATGACAGCTCGAAATTAAGTATTGCTTTGATTCATTTTCTCTTTATTCAAGCAATTGAGTCGAAAATTCCAATTGAACGCAGTTAATGAGGCCGTTGCTTAGTGATGGAATGTTGAAGTTTGGCCATAGCTATGAGAAAACGATGCAATCGCTGCAGTTCAAGATCATCAAGAACTATAATTTTTAATACATCGTGATGGACTGTCAAAAGGCGACACTTCTGCTAGGCGCGTGAAAAGCAATGAAATCCCTTTACGAAGTTGTGAAATAGTTCTATAAAATATATTTTAGTTAGATGACTCCAACATCTACCATTTCTAGCTCATCAGGCACAGGAATTGGTTGAGCATGATGAGTAACGACACCAGCTGCAGGACATTTGGGCTGAGGTGGGCACATCGGATGCATCGGTGGACATCCACATGCGTTTCCTAGACAAGATATATAGCACAAAATCATCTGGTGTAAGAGAAGAAAACGTTTTAAAAAATTTTTAAAGGTTGGTTTTCTTAAACTTGACAGAATTAACTACTTCCTTTCCTGAAATCATAGTTTCATACACAATTGCTCTAAGAGTTTTAGGTTTCTAGAGAAAATTTGTGGGAGATTTCTGACCAAGCACTATGTTGGAATAACTACGATGTTCTGTGTCATGTAGGATTACAGTAAAGACTGTGCGTCCATTTTTTTATTGAAAGCGACAAACGTTTGTGTAAACTCTTGACCTCTTCAATGAATCAGTAGACTCGTTCAAGGTGGGGTCTGTTGTTGGCTCCTCAGGGTTCTTCAAGTGGCTTTTTCGAACAAAACCAAAGCTATGGATTACGCTTTCGAGTCTTCAAAAAATTAGCTTGCCTCGCTGTAACTTACTGGTGATTATTATATCTAGATCAAACATTTATTTTGGATGACATATCATCACAGCTTACAGCGCATACCCCAGCTTTTTTTGTGCTCGTTTCGCATCCTCGCATTCATCCTCCATGAAAATCTTCGAGCACTTCACGTGATGGTTCGACTACTCATGAGGATTTCGCTTTCTTCGCAAATGTAGTAGATTGCTGGTTAAGACGAGTGCCCTTGTAATCTTGGAGGTAGCCGAGGTAAAGCTTGTTGATTGATTGTAAGATAGAGCTGCGGTGAAGAGCCAGACAAGTGCATCGCTTATTACCTCGTTTCCTGGTACACTGCATTACCAACCATTGCGCTACTCCACCTGTTTCATTACTCAGAAACTCGAGGTCTATGAGA